AATGTTGGGTGTGCAAAAGGGGTCGTTCAGGGTGAGGTTCCAAGCAGAGTAGCCGTGGGACTGAAGGAAGTATCTGCTCACAACCACTTGCATGTAGTTTGGCAAACACAGCAGTGCTAGTGGATGGCAAAGAAAATATGTTACAAGCTCAGTGAAGTGACCAAAAAAGGTTGTAAGTAGTGGATTGAATAAACATTCTCTTTTGCAGAAGCAACTGATATGGCAGAAGGAGTTCAGAATCCAAACCATGGACTTGAATCTGCATGAAAACACTACACATCTAATTTAAAACAACATTAACAAGATTAACAATCAGAGAAGTAGAAAATAATTGAAGAGCATGTTTCTGCTTTAAAGATGAACTTACTGGTGCTGTCATCAGCTGGAGTGGAATAATAGCTGGCCTGAAACCCTCTGTATGTGTGTTGGGAGTTACTGTGAAAGCGGACGGTCAGCAGGTTGGAGGATGATGTGTATGAGTGATAATAACCAGAACAAATCTTCCCAAGGAGGGGAGAGCTGTTCAGGGGCCCATCATAGATTTCCACATAGTCAGAGAGGCATCTGCCACCTTCCATCCTGGGAAAAAAACATAACTATTCAGTTTAATGTTTTAAATTATTTAGTTTCATTTTTGTGTTCTTTGTTTTTTGTTTGCCTGTTGGTTTGGATTTTTAGTCAGATTAACCCTTTGTAGCAGAAGAATACATTTGATTGATATGACTGTCAAATATCTGGAATAAAAACTACAGCCTCCAATTTTTGTCTCAGTAGATGTCAGCCACATTTTTGACTAAATAAGCAAAAATGAACACATTTTTCCTCTCCAGATGTACTAATAGCTTTGAAAAAGATCCATGAAATTAAGTAGGCTTTTGATTGGTAAATCCAAGTTGTCAGTCCCATACATTTATCTTCCCAAGTAATAAATTCTTACTCACTGAATATCTCTAAATTCAAGTGTGACAAGGAAGTTGCTCTTTACTTGTATTTCCCACACGCAGTTGGCATTGTTTGGATAATTTCTGGGGTAAAATGGACTCTGTATGGTACCAGATGAAAGGGAAAGCGGGCCACCACAAAAATAATCTTCTGCAGAGAAAAATACAAGAAGAAAAATATATGTATGCACCTTTAGGGTTCAGTTTGGAGTATGTCTGTGTGAAGTTTATGTCTAAATGTGGAGATAGTGACTTCTACCAGCTTCAGTGGCCTCTCCATTAGGTTCATATACATCTGAATGCAGGTTAGGAGATGCTAACCACATTGAATAGATTAATACATTTTATAATGCTGATTTGCAGTGCCTGCACTAGCAGGACAAAAATATTTGCCACAGAACTGCATAGTTTTTGAGGCTGGAATTCTGGAGGTCAGCTGTTCTTTGGAAGAGGAACCCCCAATTACAATTGCTGATGACCAAAGGCAAGAGGAAAAAATCAAACAATTCTGTTTCAAAAAGAGAACGCTGATAAATATCCAATTCAAAAACTTACCCGAGTCCTCCAAACCTACCTGAGGTTGATGTGGTTGTCCAGTTGAAAGTAGGGGGAGCTGTAGGAAGAGAGCAGCAGGTGAACACTCACCATTTTGCCTAAGAGGAACAGCCCTGTGGGGGTCACCCCTCCCCAGAAGGGCTCCTGAAGGGACACTGAAACCCCAGACCCACTGTCACTAGCTGGACACATGGCAGGTCCCTGTGTGGCTGCATCTCCAAGCCTTCCCCCTCCACCCACCAGCCCAAGGTACAGCTTATGTTCTGCGTATTCTGCTCCCATCAGCAGGGCCTTGATCTCCTTGTTAATGGTCAGCAGGGTGGGACAGAGTGGACCCTCAGTGTGTTTGCTGGTGACACCAAACTGGGAGGAGGGGATGGTCAAGCAGATGGTGCTGCTGCCATCCAGAGGGAGCCTGGCACTGCAGACTCAGAGCAGCAGCCAGCCTTGCTCCACCACAGCTCCTCAGCTGCCAAAAGGAGGTCACTGCTCTGTGGCTGAGCACATCACTCTCTTTATTTTGGGAAAACAAGAAGTAGCCTTTGGCCTCTGCAGCAATGAGTGTGCCAGGGCTGTGCAACTCCTCTGCCTACAGCATAGGCCAGGAAAATGATGATCACTCAGTGGCAGCACGGAGGGAGGTGTAGAGATTCCCATTCCTGCCCACCAGGCACAGAAACAGTCTGGCAGCAGCTTCATGGCCATCCTATCCCAAAAAATGCCCTTGAGCCAGGATGCTTTTGGAGTGAGGCCAGAGGGTCTGGATGCCCACAAAGTGTTGAGAGCCACCAGAAGCTCTTTGCGACCGAGTTTGAGTTTCCGCCCTGGCAAAGGACAGCTCTAGTCTTACCCACGGTGCTATTGAAGGCAAGAAATGAAGAGTAGAAGGCGTGGAAGCCTCTCTTGGTGACGCTGCCATCACTGCGGAACAGGATGGTGAGCTGGTTCCCCGAGGAGTTGAAGACGCGATGGTCGCCCCTGCAGACCAGGCCCAGGCGCCAGGCCTCGGGGGACCCTCCATCGAACACCTCGATGGTATCGTAGGAGCAGCTGCTGCCTTCCAGCCTGGGGGGAGAGCACGATCTGCCTGCACCACAGGCTGCAGGGCCCCAGCCCTGCTCCCACCTCACCCCAGTGCTTGGGCAGAGGCTGCCAAGGCCCCGAGCCCACGGCCATCACCCGGCTGGACTCACTCCACATCCGTAAACTGGAGCTCGATCCTGCGGGCCGGGTCCCTCAGCCAGATGCGCCACACGCAGTAGGAATTGTCGGGGTAGGAGCCGGGGTACCCTGGGCTCTGGATGGTGCCAGACAATCCCTGAAGTAAGCCACCACAGGAGAAGTTCCCTGAGGAAAAGAGCAGAGCTTGGGCATGGGCAGATAGCTCTTATCCCATCACCAGAATCCATCAGAGAAGGGCATGGCCTCACCAAGGAGGCTCTGCCACAGCTCCACAGAGATCCTCCCTCCTGGGCACCCCAAAACATCTCCCCTGCATCCCCCCAGCCCAGAGCACGGGTTGTGCTCAGCTCATACAGTAACCCAAATCTATGGGGTTGGCTGTCCACTGGGACACCTGGGGAAGGACATAATCAGAGCCCTTAACTCCTCTGGACCTAAATGTGGTCAGTGAGAGAGGGGAAGTTGAGCTGGAGGTACCTGGTGCTGCAGAGAGAAATCAGCAGGGTTGACTCCCAGCATTTTTCCTAAGAGATCCAACCTGCTGGGAGTCAACCCTCTCCAAAAGCCAGGCTCTTCCCAGTGGTGCCCAGTGAGGGGACAAGAGACCACAGACACAAACTGAAACACAGGAGGTTTCCTCTGAACATCAGGAGACACTTTGTCTCTGCTAGGATGACTGAGCCCAGACACAGGTTGCCCACAGAGGAGCCAAATAGCCAAGAGCCCTCTGGACAGGGTCTTGGAAAGCCAGCTCTGGCTGATCCTGCTTTTAGCCAGGGGGTAGGACCAGATGTACTCCAGAGATCCCTTCCAACCTCACCATCCCGCGATTCTGTGATGTGTAACTGAGGGCAGAAGCTAGTCCAACCCCATAGCTCCTCCGGACATACCTGCTGTAGTCCATGACCCGGGGAGAATCGATCTGGAGACACCTGGTACTGCAGGGAGAGAGCAGCAGGTGAGCAAGCAGTGCTTTTCCTCAGGGGATCGTCCTGCTGAGAGTTCCCCCTCTCCAATGGGAACCCCGTTGAACCCCAGTGAAGGCCAAAGCTCACAGTGCAATGTGGCAGGACTGAGATGGCTGCAGTGCCAACTGCACCAGCACTTGCTCAAGAACATCCCCACTGCAGCACCATGAAGACTGGTGCCAAACCTCTTCCACAGAAGGAGTGGCTGCTCAATCCCAAAGAAACCCAAGCAATCTTGCATCTCCCTGAATGCGAGGGACATCAGCCAGGGTCTGTAAGTGCAGCCTACGCAGAGCACCCCAGAGAAAGAAAATCCCATGGAAAAGCAATATCAAAACAGAAATCTCTGGTTACCTGCTGTTGGAGGCTCTGTTATTCCTGAGTCTGGAAGGAGAAAAGCAGAGGGTGTGAGGCACTAGGACTGTTTGGCTCCCCTTGGAGTATGTATTTAATTTCATGGAAAATTATGGAGGGACCCATAGGGAAGGTGGCCTGAATAAAAACCATCCCTCTCCTCACACCCTGCTCTGTCCCGGAGTGATGCCCAAACCCCAGATTTCCCAGGTACAGACTGCAAACATGAGATTGATGCCCCCTCTGAAACGCCACCCTCTGTGTCAGGGGCGTGGACCCATGACCTGCTGCTGCCCTGCTGAGCACGGACCAAGGGCTGGACAGCCTTCATCCCACCTCACTCCAGAGAGATTTTCTTCAGGAAAATGCCACCAAAACACAGACACTCACCTGAGCATATGACAGAAGCATCTCCATGGTGGCAGACACTGTACTGGTAGTTGTAAGGGCACTCCCACACGTATCTCTCGTAGCCCATACAGTTCACCTCAGTAATCATGTACGGGTACGAGTTGCTCGAGGGGAAGGAGTGCGTGGCTGTGAGAGGGAAGCCACAGCCCAGCTGCCTGCACACCACCTCGGCGTCCTGCATGTCCCACAGGTAGCCACACACCTTCTCCCAGCCTCCAAAGTAGTAGATCTCCACATTGCCTGCACAGCGGTTGGGCCCACTTCTCAGCCTCAGCTGCAGCTCTTTGAGAGACACAAACCCCTTGGTCAAGCCAGTGGTGCTCTGGGTCCAGGCAATGACATCCCACATCCTCTCTGGGCATGGCTGCATCCACCTGCAGCACAGCCCAGGGCTGGCAGCCCCTTCTCAGCTCCCACACCGTGGGTTGGAGAGGCTGGGGCAGCAGGGGCAGGCGCGTCCCATCCCTGTGCCCAGGGACATGACAAGAACCCTGGCAGAGAGACTCACCATCGTATATGAATGCAGCTGTGCAGGAGAACAAGCAGGGAAAAAAACACACAGAGAGGAAGAGAATTAATCTTTGGGAGCTGTCAGTGCTCTCTACCCTTCCCCCAGTAAGTCAAGGTCCCAGTGAAGGGCACAAGTGACAGATCTTTTTCTTTCTAGCAGGAAAGCTGGTTGCTAGAAGGCAAAGCCATCCCCAGATTCCTGCCTCCCAGATAATTTACTTCTCATGTCCATCCCTGTCCCCACCCTACAGAAAATGTGAGCTTTTTAATCATACTACTTGTTCCCAAGCATAAATACTATAATGAAAACATAAATCTATGATTATTGTATAAAGTAACAATCTGGTAAATTCTACTTACTAGTCGTGGGGACATCAGTTGTTGGGAAACTTCTTGTTTCTAAAGAAGAAAAAAATAAGATAGCATACATGAAGGTCAGCAAGGCAAATTTCAATGCAACTTCCTCAAACTCGGTTTCAGTTTCTTAGAATTTGCAGCCAACGAACTTTAGATCCAGGAGATTTTTATCTTAGCAAATCTCAGCAATTTTTTCTACCATTAACCATCAAGATTCTTTGTGAGCCCACCAAAACCTGCAACTGGCCTCTTGGAACCTGACCAGTTTTCTGGTCCAGTTTTACCCAGCCCCCTGAGCTGGAAGACAGGGGTGGGGAGCAGCACAAACCCCCATAATCCAAGGGAAAGCAGTCAGTGACCTGCTACACCACTTGGATATTCACAAGTCTGTGGGGCTGGATGGGATCCATTCAAGGGAACTGAGGGGGCTCAGCCTGGAAGAAAGAAGAATCAGGGGGAAAGTTATTGCTCCCTACAGAACCAGGTGAGGGTCAGTCCCTTCTCCCAAGTAAGGAGTGATAGGACATAGCCTCAAGTCAGATTGGAGATAAGGGCAAATGCATGCCTGGAAAGAACAGGCTGCCCAGGGCACTGGTGCAGTCCCATCTCTGAAGGGATTTAAAGAACATGTAAATGTGGCACATGTAGACATGTAAATGTGTGGGACTGCTGGGTTAATGGTTGAACTCGATGATCTTAAAGGTCTTTTTCAGCTGGAACGATTCTTTGATTTTATCTGTCGGTCTCACCTGACCTGATCAGGAGTTGATGGCTCTACTACTGATATGAGAATAGGCTGTGAAAAACTGCTTCTTTCTCCAAATCAAGAACAATGAAAATCTCAACAGAAGTCAAGATGACATAAAATATCTGGGAGGTTGTCAGAACAAAGCCGGTGACAAGGGAGGCTGTACATCTCATTATTTTCATCGTGCCCAGCTGCAGGTAAAAAGAAGGTCCCCAAAATCTCCCTGTCCCAGGTTCTGCTCACATTCCCTCCCACTTCCAACACGACTGATTCCATCAAGACCACGCAGCTGGTGTCAATAACTGGGTCAAAGAAGGGTTTCGCTGCTAGGGCTGATGGAAAGCCTCCAGGTGGCACTAAGAGACCAGAGGTGTCCGGCAGGACAGGGCTCTGGCACGCGGAGAAAGGTGATCTCTTTCCTGGAGTTTTTGGATCAGATGACAGTTCCAAACTTTTAACTACAATTAATAACAGCATTTCATGTGAGTCCTGCTCTGTCCCTACGTAGGTCACTGAAAAGCAGTCTACAAAGCTGCATTCAGACAAGATTTGTCTGTTTAAACTGTGGATAAATTTGCTTTGGGCTTTCAGAGATCCTCAGAAATTGCTGCATTTACACAGCCTCCACTTTTAACCTGGATTTATTACCCTAAGCTTTTAACCCAAGCAGTGATTTAATTAAACTCTTCATTGCAGTGATAACTCTTATTCTTTCTGTGAGAGGAGCAACAAATATACAATTATATGCTGTGTTTTAAGTGCACATATGTGCTGCCTTGTGGATTCTATATGGATGCATTCAGCATCTGGGACCCCAGTCTGAAGGACACTGACTACCCTGATATGTTGGCTACCACTGGACTACAGGAGTTTTCATCAGCCTGGAGGGAGAATATTTAGCAAGACCAACTCTATAAACAATGTACATTTTTATATAACTTTAAAGTTACCTGTTGTTAGAGGCATTTTTGTTGAAGAATCTGCTAGTGTTAATACAAGAAACGAAAACAAGAAAAAATATGTTGAAAGAACGTTATATTTATTAGGTCATGAGGATGAGAAGTTTGCATGCACAGGATCCCCTGGTGGCACTGGCGAAGGGATGTCAGGGGATTTGCAAGGGAGTGGATTAGCTCCAGCTACTGTTGGGGATAAAAATCCTGCTCTGTTTGGACAGCCTGAGAGGTGGGAATATGCCCTCACTACTATCATGTTTGAAAAGACCTGTGACAGTGGCTCTCAAACTCACAGTCTATGTGTTTGAAGTGATTTCTGGATGCAGAAGATCCGGACAGGGGACAAGTGTCATTTATTCGGATGTTAGGAAACTTTCCAACACATCCTGCCATGCTGCTCCTCACGCATGCAAGGCTTTAAATCCAAATTAGCTGGATGGTAATAAAAGGGTTAAACAGCAACTCAGTATTTTCCAGCTGAACATCAACATCCCAGCTTAGTTTTCAGTATCACTAATTGCACCTCAAATATTTATGGAGGGAGCAAATAATGGGGGCATTAAAAACCTGAGCCTGGAAACAGCCCCGAATGTTATTTCTTTCTGCTGTGTGAGTGCATAGAAAATGAAAGCAGGTTTTTGCTTTGAATTCATTACTTCAAGTCAAGTTCATTCCAGAACTTTACACCTGAAAGAGGAAGGGGTGGAAAGACAGCAGCTGTGGCAACACTTCTGATGTTTTTCCATCCCTGCATAGAGGATGCAACAGCAGCTGCTTAAAAAGAAAGGTTTTGTCTCTCCCAGCACCAGGCTGGCACCCTGCTTAGTCAGACAAGTCTCACCTGGAAAGGGGAAAAATGTTTTTGAATACAAAAAGCCTATTTCACCCTGTTTGAAATATTCCCCATCCCACCAGACCCACCAGTATTTTTATTAGTCCCCAAAGGGATGAAAGTGGCTAGGCAAACCAAACAAATTAAATTACACTCCTAACAGGAATTAGCCCATGGGAAATTAGGCTAATAAAAAAATACAGTACTTTCCATTATAATCTAATAATTATAATAATAATGGGGACAGGGATATGTGCCATACTTGTTTTATCTAGGGCACTGTAATTAAACACCAAAGGGTTAGATGTAACAATGTACCTAATCAAATACAAACCCCACAGTTTGTACACCTCACCCTCTTTAAAATAAACTTGTATTTAGTCCAGAAAACAGTTTGTACACCTCACCCTCTTTAAAATAAACTTGTATTTAGTCCAGAAAACACTTATTAGTCTTTAAATCCTTTATCCCAATATAAAGGATCAAAAAACGTTATCATTGGCTTTGCAGTATATTCATTTTAATTTCCTTTTCTAGGCTCTATACGAAAAATGATGGGAAAAAATTAAATTCATTAAGCAGTTTGATAACATTAATTTGCTCAGCTCAAAAGTTTGACCTGCTCATTGTTTTAAAAGTACTGAGCCATGTTGGTAAATCCGCTTTTACCATTAAACCTCAGAATTAGCCCAAGGTGAAATATAACTACAAAGGTGATTGAAGTGAGGTTCTTTACCTGCATCCACCTGAATGTGAAGGATTATCATCACCATCCAAGAGAAGATCCTGATGGCAGCCATCTCCTTGGAGCTCCTGATGCAGGAGGACACCAGAATTTATAGGCAGAGTCACCAAGGGGTGCAGCTCAGCAGCCCAATCCCTGGTTTCTGTAGCTCAATACCACATTCCCCACTGCTCTCACGTCCCTGACTTCCATCACCACATATTTGATTTGTAAACCAATATTTTCAGCTTCCTGGTTCTACAAGAAGGCAACACCTGGCATCTGATCCAGGGAAAGCAGAGGTCAAAAGTGGTTGCAGTCACTGCTATTTTTCCATCCCATTCCTCTTTGGCTGTTGAGTTCTCTTGCTGTCACTTATGTAACTTGTCCCTTTCTTGGGTTTGCACTGTATCCGAGCCAAAACTGCTTTTTAGGCTGCAAAATGTGCTTTTCTTTTTGTGACTGAACATGTGGAAGGGTAGGACAACAGTGGGAAACAACCCAAGGACTTATGGAAACCCTTTGTACACTGTTCCAATAGATGACACAAAAACATACAGTAAAAGTGAGTACATTCTTCTTTTTCTGTTCTCCCTCTGTTCATCCCTCAGCGTGCTCTATCCTCACCAGGGCAACAAGATTCATCTAAAGTAATCTTTTGACTTTTGGCACAAACTCAAGCCAAACTTCGGTGGTCGTACACTGATCATTGTTAAACTGCACAAAACCTTCCCAGAGAACAAGGGCTCTAAGTCTGGAGATGGGGGTAAATATAGAAAATAAGTGAAAATTCATCCCAAATTCTCTATTTCTGAAGCTCTTAAGAACTTGGCAGAACTCCTGACACAGTTGTCCCCCTGGGATTTAGAACAGATTTAAGGTAATAGATAAGTAAGGGCATCCAATGGAACTTACAATGGATTTTTATGAAGAGAAAATATCTCAGGTCATGATGAAATTTCAGTGGATCCAAGTGCTCATCAAAGAACTACATTTGCACGGCAAATTTGGCAATGTTTGAGCAGTATATAAAACCTCAGAATCACAGAACTACTTAGCCTGGAAGAGCCTCAATTCAAAGTAGAGTTATCTTCAAAGTTCAATCAATCTTTTAAAAGTCTCAGGGTCTTAGTAATCTGTGTAACTCAGAATTCTGTATTTTGTTTTCTAGAGAGGACGTGCAAAAACTTCTAGTAGATAAAAATTTGACATCCTGGTTGTTCCTGCTGTTAGTTTTGGATTTATTACTGATTGGCAAACAACTTCTCAGAAGCCCAGGAACAGGTTTCTTGTGCCTCCTGAACCATGCAATGCAACAGTCCGGGACAGCCAATGACCAAACTCAACCTCACACAGCACAGGAGAGCCAAAAGAAGATCAAAAAGAGAAAGGAGGCACAAACTCCATTGTGAGGATGGGGAGAAAAAGGAAAGGATTTGTTAGACATGCAAACAGTTTGTTGACTCTGTAAACATGGGGAGACTTTTATTCTCATGGTTTTGCAAGGCAGGTGGAGGAAGTCCAGTCTTTTGGAGGGACTGCAGGAAGTAAGGGATGTGGCTTGGTAAACACATTGGGGCAACTGTTGCAGACCTGGAGAGATGAAAGAAAAATAAAACCAGACTAAAACCATTTAAAAGTCAATGAAAATTGGTACTATTTGAACAGAAAAAGAAAACATGTGAGACAATTCCAAGTTCAGGGCGAGTTCAGATCCCAATGGCAATCATGCATGACCAGCCCACTCCAGGACTGGCATTCTCTGTGTGGAGCCCAGCTCTCAATTCCTCAGATAACAGGGAAGTGTGGTGGATTACCTTTGGCTGGCTGCAAGACACCCACCTGGCCCCTCTCTCATTCCTCCTCAGGAGGGCAGGAGGAGAAAAAAAGGTGAAGAAGTTCATGGGTTGAGATAGGGACAGGGAAATCACTTACTGCCACATGGAAAACAGATTCAGCTTACAGAAAAATATATTGATTGCCAGTTAAAATAGACTCGTGTAGTGAGAAATACAGTTAACTTAAACAACACCTTCCCCACTCCCTCTTTTTCCAGGCTCAAGGTCATTTCTTCATTCCCCTCCTCACTCGCCTTCACTGAGTGGCACAGTGGGACTGTGGTCAGTCCGTGGCAGTTTGTCACTGCTGCTCTGTTCTCCTCACCCTTTTCTCGTGCTCCATTGTGGGTCCTTCCCCCTGGTCTGCAGTCCTTCAGCATAAACCAACAGGTTATCCTTCAGGATAATCCAGCATCAGCTCTTCATGGCCACAGCTCCTTCAGGAAATGTGCTCTCGCTCCAGCACAGGGGCCTCTGTGGATTGTGGGGACATCTCAGGTTTGGCACAAGGAGAACCTCCTCCTCCATCTCCTCTAACTCTGGTGTTCACAGGGCTGTTCCTCATGTTTTCTACCCCAAATCCCCATTTCCTGCATGTGATTTTGTATTTTCTTAAATACGGTTTAATAATTAAACACAACTGAGTCATGCCCTGAGGTGGGACTGTTGCAGATTTGGCTGGAACACAGCAAAGCACAGAGCTGCTGGGTCAGTAGTCAAGACATCAGCTGGAACCTGTTAAACCACCCCTTCCATTTAATTTCATTTTCTTCATTTGCAGTGGTCACTACTCTGACATTGCAGAACACAATTCAAAGAGCCAGCAGCAAAATGGTGCTCTGGTACTGACCTGGTTTTTGCACAAAAAAACCTTTCCTCCCAACAGGTGGGATGGCTGAAGGAGTGGGGGATTTTCTTGATTCTTAGTTCCTTTAACCAGAGCTGGAACTTGATGAGAATGTATGGAAACATTAGTTTCAGTTTGGATCCACGCTTGCTTTATAAGTCAACTATTCAACAAAATGCTTGTCCTTTGGATAGGAGAAAGGATGCAAGTTCTTCACACTTTTTTATTAATTGTGATAAGCAGTCAGCTCCCACTAACTTTTTCAAATTCAATTGATACCATAACTTCTATTCTGGCATCAGTGATGTTTCTCCCCTACAACAGGGCATGGCAAGGGCCAGAAAGCAGGCACCAATCACTCATCCCAAGCTGAAATAGGCTTCATGCTTCCCTGCTCCCTGTCCACTCTCCCCATCTGTTCGCTTCCCTTACACCTCTGTCCAAAGCTTTGTTTGCATAAGTGACACCAAAGCAAATTGTCAGGCAGGAATGGTTTCATTGCATCAGAAAATCAAGATTTATGATTAAGCTATGTTTGCTTGGGATGGGGAAGAGTAAATGATTTAATCTGACACGGGACACAGCCTTGCTGCCTGGCCATGGCAGTTCCCTCCTGATAGGCCTCCTACCATCCCTCTGCTGCACTTGGTTCCATTTCTCACTGGCCATTAAGTTACAAATGTGTTCCTTAAGTACAGTGGTGCATCTGGCAAGGAGAGAAAACAGGGTCAAATCGACTTTCCCTGTAGAAGCTTGCTGGCACTGCTCTGTCCCTGTCATCTCCAGCTGCTTGGCTCAGCCCTACAGCCCTTCCACTGATCCTCTAGAGATTCCCTCTTCACCTCTGCAGCTTTCCTCCAGTTCTGCTGTTCTCCTGTTATACAGCTGTGCCTGTGTTCACCATAGATGTCTGAGAGCCCATGCACAGCTGGAACAGACCCAATTAAAGAACTTGACTGCAAGGTACCAACAGAGAAGTCATGGCTGCAAACACACCGACACTGAGTTCCCCTGGCTGTGGGGGTCTCCTCTCTTCATTCCTCTTGTGCCCTCTCTCTCTCGGCTTGCTATTCCTTTCCCAGCCGTCTCCCCTCTGCTCCCTTCCTGTCCCCCTCATCCCCAAGAGGAATGACATTCGGATTCACACCAGCAGCTCACAGGAGGGCACAGACTGTTTATCCAAACAACTCGTGCCTGGTGAGTTACGGGTGAGAGCATCCAGGTAAGCAGATGGAGACTGATCTCCGTGAGAGCCAAGAGCTGTATAAGCAAATAATTGTATTGTTCTTATGATACTTTGGATCTATGACGTTCCAGAGCAGTAACCATACTCCAGCCAGGAGCAGAGTTGGAAAATAGGGAGAAAAAAGGCTCAGCACAAATTCAGGCTGAAATCAGTAAAGAATTTTATTTGATCAAAATAATAAAGTAAAAAAAATTTCTGTTCTGCAACTGTCATAACAAGATGTTTCAAATAAAGTCTTAGAAAATTGAGCCAATCTATTATTAAAAGCTTGAAGAACCTGAGAGCCTGAGACAGTTCCTTTGAGTCAGTGAAAGATTGCAGCTGAAACATCTATTAAGCAACTAGCTCTGCTATTTATGAATTGCTCTCCCATGCTTGGAAGAGATGTTGAACTGTTGAGGAAGTGAGGGGACTTGGGATTGTTTGGGAAAAGTGCTAGGCAGATGAAGGGACACTTGTGCCTTGTCTCATTTTGTGTTCCTGTTGGTTGCACCTCATCTGCTTCCAGCACTCCTCCCTCTCCCAGACCTCCACTGGCTCCAACCCACCCCAGCTAATGAACACCAACCTCTTTGAATGCAATAAGATTTGTTTACCAAATGTAAGTATGAGGGAACAGAAATTTTTCACCTTACAGCAAGGGGACATCATGCAAAACAGGAACGTTTTGATCTCTGTTTGCTTTCTGGTAGCAAATACCCCAATATTTCACACACTGTGTCAGAGTACATGATATTCCTTTGTATGAACATAAAGTCACCACTCCTTAAATCAACACACTCAGGCCTGCTGCTTGGAAGATTGATAAAGAGTCAATGGCAATGGAAAAATAAACGAAAAATATAATTTTTGAGAATATCTTTGTCATCAAGACGTCTTAATACCCAAGATCTACATAAACAGCTACTGCAACAGAGACAATAATGAGACCTAGAGTAGGGACTGGGACTGAGGTTTCCACACTTTCAAGCAACATTTAAAATTGCAGAAAGCTGCCACTTACCCTGCAATTCTCTGTGCCTGGCTCCACAGGGATAGAAGCAGAGACACCTCTCCCATCCTGGCCAGCTGGTAAAGTGTTTAGGTTGGTTTTCTGGGATGAGATTGATGGATTTGACCCGGGCCATTTCTTTGCTGAATAGAATAACTCTTAAGCCATTTTAGGATGGGAACCACTCATGCTCAGAGAGAAAACAGCTTCTGCTTTCCTGTCGTAAGTACCCTCATCTGGCACTTGCTGGTATCTGCCACCATTTCAGGCCTTTTTGACATTTGCCAAATGTCTGAGTCTCAATAATCAGATTTAAATATCTCTAAGGTTTGTGGCAACTGACGCCAGCAAGAGATAAGGGAAGGGCAGTTCAGCTTCCATCCGTTACAGATCTTCCTTGGATCTCCCCTTATGTTTGTTGAACAAATTTAATCTCTTACCCAACAAACAGCAGAGGCTGAAAAATGCACTGCTATGATTTGCAGGAGGAGGGTGGGTCTGAAAGATTTTATTGTTTGCTGAACCAAGAAAAGAAAATAATTAGTGGAATGATCCATTAAACCACAATCCCATGAAATTTCACTGAAGAGCAAAAACGTGGCCATAAACTTAAGCACTTGACAGCTACCACAGCTTGAAAATTTGCATTTACTTGCAACTAAGAACTCCAGACCCAAAGTTGGTGTTAATGCTCACAATCTGTCATGAGTTCCCCCATCCCCCAAAATACTAAAGCATATTGTTTTGTTATTAGATAAAGTTTAAACACTGCTGTCAAACAAATATTGACAATCTTCCCACATAGTTTCTCACCCAGTGCATAAAGAAACAGTCCTATATATTATTAACACATACTGTTGCCTATACAGTTTGGCCAACTTCCTAAATAGTCCATCCCACCTGCTTTTCAATTTAGGACAATCGTTCCATTAATTCAGCTGGGCTTATCACTGCTGGTAATAAACTTTGCAGTCCTGCCCCCTTTTCTCAATATGACCTGTAATTGCATCAAACACTTCTGCCACCCTGACAAAATAAATAAGATCACAGCCAGATTAAAAGATGTCAAAGCCAAGGACATTTTTACTAAAAAGGAGAGAGACCGTATCCATAAAGTCATTTAAAAGACAAAAAGGAAAGCACAAAAATGTCCTTCATGATGGGAGCTGTTTGACCAACACAGACACAGGACTGAGTTCTGCAATTGTATTTGAAGAATTGTTTTGTATCAAAACTGACTTCCAGCACCAAATGCCAGAAATTCAGACATTTGAGGCAGCATCCTGGGAACCTCCCACTCAGAAAAACCCAAGTGCTCACCAAAGCCAGGAGTGGCCAGGCACACCTGAGTGCAGCTCCCTGCCCTGGGGGACCAGCCAGGAGCCACAGCTGCAGCCTGGCACTGATGCTCCCAGTGGGGACAGCCCCAGCTCCTCTCTCCTGCACTGGCCTTCCACAGGAGGTTTGGGATCACATCCAGGCTCTTTTCTCTGCCTTAGCTTTCTGTGCCATTTCCCATTCCTTGTTCTTCAGAGCCACTGCCCGATGTCTGGAAATCATTTTCTGTGGCCATTGTTTTAAATAAAATAATTCTATTTCTTTGCTGACTCTCCTGAAATCACAATTTCCCTGCTGTGGCCGAGGTTTGGCAAGGATCTGATACAGAAACAGAAAATGCCCTAAAGCAGATCCCAAACAGATTTCAAGGCTGCAAGAATTGCAACCTCCACTTCATAAAATACATCCAGGCAGCTCATCACAATAATGAAGTGTCAGGCAAAACTTGGAGGCAAAATCCTCTCAGAAAACCACATTTCTTGTCAACACCCAACCCTGCCACCTTCCTCAGTGCACCAGCCATCTGTTCAGCATCGTGCTGAACTACTTCACTTTCAATGACACCTGAAACAACAGGGCACCTTTCCACCTTCCCATTCAAGATCTCCCACAGAATGGCTCCAACAACAGAAAAAGGAAAAATTCCTACCATAATAAACACAAAGTTTTCTCACTCCTGTAAGTTCAGTGCTGGTTGTCCATCTTGTTGGCTTTCTGAGCAGTGCCCACTTCCACAGGAGAACCTAAACACACTTTTCTTGGACATGGGCTCACGTCGGAAATCCTGTATTAACCCTTCTGAGTCCCTGTTGCCCAGGAGAAATGCAGGCAAAGAAAAAGGACTTAAGGAAATTAATTACCATAGATCAGATTTTAATGTGGGCATCTCAAAATCCAGAAGTTAACCTCTTCTGAAAGACTGCATTTTTGTTCAAAATATTAGTAATTTTGTTAAGTGCAAATATTTGACAGGTTGCTGTAATTTTTCTCCTGTCATGAGTGCAAGTAATGACAACATCATTAATATAATGTAATTTGAATATGTCATTTTGGATCAAGGGGCTTGCACAGGCAATTACCATATTTGAAGGTAATGAATAATGGTTAATTCTAAATAGTAGGATTTACAATTACGTAAAATAAGTGGTTAATAGCATGTTATAGTCACATTAAAGTTATATTGAATTTAGGTAGAGATTTCCCTGTAGTAACACCTGGATATGATGACATCTGAATTGAGGCAGATGAAATAATCAACCCTTTCAATTTTAGGAATAAAGCTTCTATCACTTGTCTTTAAGCAAGTCTGAAGCACTTCAGTGATGATGAGAAAGTACATGATGTCTTAGTCGATTTTCAGGTTGCAATTTCAAACTCTCCCAGACTGAAACCAGAGCTAAAAAAATTCGAATATCATCTGATATAACATCACTCCATGCTAGTTACAGAACTGCTGTATCTCCTGAGTGTTTAGAAGGTGCAGCTTTACTCTCCATACGGCTGCAAGTGATGCCCTGTGGCCAGACTGGGCACCTCAAAAAGAATCTGGACCGACTAAAAAAATGCGTCCAGTAATGACGACAAGGATAGAAAATGTGACCTGAGATAGAAAGAGAATAAAACAATCACTGAGGACAATTGTCCTCTGTCTTCAGAGGCATTGTGACAAGAATGAGGCTGCAGTGCTCAGTGTTTGTGTAACAAAGCAAATGACACTGTGAACATCTGTGGGCAGAGACAGTGTTGAGCAGAAACCTTTGGCTTTTAATTTAAGAGAAAGAAAACTGCCTGTTCTTCAGGCAATAAAGCAAGTTGAGCAGAGGAAGCCCTTTGCAGGAGTGAAAAGGTTTGCAGTGTCCCTCACTGCACAGGCTGGAGCTGACCCCAGGGGAGCTTTTCCTTTTGCACAGCCCTGCCTTCTCTGTGGAAGTGCTTTTTCATTAAACAAACAAACATTAAAACCCTTTAGCTGAGTATAAATAAAAGCAAAACTATTACACTTCAAACCAGAACCAAGATGCATGTCACAGCTTCAGTATGTGATTATCCTTTACACAGCTGTTTATGCCAATGTAACATTTTCATGGTTGTAAACCCTTCTCTGTTACATCAATAAAATATTCATCTCCCCCTAACCACACTGGTGAAGTGAAGCATTCTTTTGCCAGCTCCTCTTCAAAAGAAAAGTTTCCTTTCAAGATCCCGACCTCCAAATCAAACGTTGATTGAGATGTGAGGAAATGTGCATTTATTCTTCTGTTAATACAGTTGGGTTTTATTATAATTTGTTTTTTACCAGAGAGTGGCAGCTACAGCTCCTTTTCTGTTATATTTGCCTGTTTCTGGTTGATTTGCAAGTTGGTGGGTTGATTTCTTTTTCTTACAAGTGCAAAGATTTTTAAAACAGTCGCAGCATGCTGAAACATTCTAGTTTTCCAAATCAGACAGTCGACTCTCCTTCCTTGCCAGACACAAGAACTTACTGGAGATGAGATGCAGACAAAATCTACTTTTTCCTTGCCAGAACTGCCCAGTTCCTTGGAATATTGGAATCAACTTTTATGAGAGCAGCTTTCAGCACTTCTTTCTGAGCAGGCACTAAGTTCAGACTTCCATGGACATTCGCTTTTCCCTCTGCACCTCCCTCCTCCTCCCCCTCAGCACAGCCACACATAGTGCCCCAAATCACGGTGACATGTCCAGACACAGCTTCCACAGAGCTTGGGGATGAATTTTTAGCTTCAATTCGCCCTCTCGTGGACTGACCTGTCCACAGGTCCTTATGAACATCTTGTCCAGAGCAGCTGTGGCTGCCCCTGCATCCCTGGAAGTGTCCAAGGCCAGGTTGGACAGGGCTTGGAGCAGCCCGGGATAGTGGAAGTTGTCCCTGCCCGTGGGACTAAATGGTCTTTGAGGTCCCTTCCAACTCAGGTCATTCTGATTCTATGAAAAAAAAACATTTTTCCTGGAGGACTGCAGCTGTAGGGTCAGACTCAAAAGCTGCTGCTTCTCTCTTAGCTTCCAGGGACTTTGGGAAAGGGATTGTCCAAGTAGACACAACAAATCCTACAGTCACTGCATGGACACAGCCTAAATCACAGCTTTCTCAATCAACAGCACCTCACAAATGTATTTTCCTCTCTGGAGGTGTGACCTGCACCATTAAGGAAGATTACACTTCACTGTTGTTAACACAGTCCATCTCCCTCAAATATCCACATGGCAAACTTTCTGAAAATCACTGTGGTCTCTGCATAAACAATGAACAGAAAAGGAATGACCAGAAAAAAATATTTAATTTTCTTCTCCAGCGTGTTATGCAGTATTTCCAAGCTCCTAAAGTGAATTCTTTACCACATTAAGTAAATTTGACTCGTATGCTTTAGCCCTGACTCACTTTCCTTCTAATCAGTTGCTAATTATTACACACTTCCTCAGAAAGTTTATGGGGACAGATGCTGCAGTACCATGACTACTAAACAAAACCCTGAAAACTGGAGGAAAACTTCCCAGCAGATGTAGATGGATTAAATTGGTGAACTGCTCTGGTAGTTTGTCTACTTTCTCTGCCCAATTAGTCAATTTACATGTGCACTGGTTTTAGCAGTGATTTTATGCAATAAACAATCCTTAACTGATCAAGTTATTCCATATTTACAGAGGAACGGCACAAAGAGGCTGAACTGGCTGAAATCCTGGGGCCAGAGTGTCCAGCTCAGACTTCCCAGCCAGCATCTTGCACAAGAGATGGGGTTTGGGGGTTAAGGGGACTGGAAAAGGACTCACACAGTGACCTCCCATCACATAGAACTGAATTCTCACTGCATTCGTTATTCACTACTCTGAATTGGTGACTTCTACCTTCATCACTTCTGTTTCTCCTGAGTATTTGCAGCTGCAGTTTTAATCAGTTTAATATATAATATATAATCAGTTAATTCTGCAGTAATGAAGACATGCAATAAGAACCTGTGTATAATCTAAACGTGCCTTACTAACGTCTCTCTCACCATAATTTAGAACGATGTAGTTTTAGAAATATTCTCAGCTACCTTAACGTGAATACAAAACAGTTCTAGGTAAGGAGAGGGAAGAGAAAAAAAGAAATCCTCTGGCAATAAAATGACAGGATTTTACTTCTTGGCATCTAAGCCACAGAAACCAGACAATTGTTAGTCATGACCATTTTTTACAGCTCAAGACCTTTCCCATATGGAATATGTGAACCTGCATTTTGAAACTACCTCCAAATGTAGCACACGTAGCCATCTACTCAGCATCACACACAGCAACTCCAGTTTCCATTTCAGATGTTCCAGAGTACTGAAAATCAAGCCAGTCCAATTTCCCTGATATAGCATCCAACACTTCATAAAATTTCCAGGAAACTGATATTTATACAAACTGTGCCAAAGCCATTCTGTACAAAGTATTTTCAATTGCCTTTTGGAAAGAACTGTCTGCTGAAGCAACA